TATTATGATTTGAATATTTATGGAATATGAATAGAGTTTATTAATTATGATTAATATTTTATATTAGGAAACAATTAATTGATTAAAAATTGAATGGTTGAGATGAGGGTTGTATAGGGTGTAAGAATGGCAAAGAGTGTAGAATAACATCCCTCTATATATATATATATATATATATATATATATATATATATACACACACACATATGGACCCTTTGCTATGTGTAATTTGTTCGAAAAGTCTTTGTTTGTTCGATTATAATCAAGAAATTTATCAAGTTTATCAATTTGTTCGAAAAGTCTTTGCTATGGTTCTTATGGTTTATGAAAACTCTACTTTATCACTCGACCTTATAAAGTACACCACATGCTCAACAGTTTGCATTTCGTTATAGTTTCTTCCAAATAGTCACCCCATATATTAAGTTATTATCATCCTTTTCTATTTTCTTTATAATCTTTTTATTTTATCGTACAAAACTAATAGACTCACTTCAAAAGGGTTCGCATTTCACCATCAGAATGAAGCGATAATTTTTTTTAAAGTACTGAACTCAAACCAAATTGTATGATGCATATCATCATAAACCCGAACCGTAACCAAATCACATACGCAATTAACCCCTTTTTTGGTTTGATTTCTTTATCTGTTTTCCGTTGTATTACACTGGTTAAACCTTTGAGGATGTGTAGTGGAAAATCTCAACTACCCCAGAAATTCAGGCGCCATCAAATGCCCTTATGACCATGGAAGTTCACCTACGATGACTTCAGACTATTTGTGGTCGCCCAGGGGATTAGTCATTGCATATAAGTTGACCTAAAAAGTCACGGTTATCCAAATAAATAAATAAACTGCACACTGGGGATTTACCGATTACAAACTAACCTTGCAGGGTTAACACAACCGACAATAAGACGTAGGCTTTTGGGGTTTCTCCTCATATGTTACCGGTTCGAATCCTGCAAAGTCATAAGGATTTTCCAGACTATCCTTCATGTCCCCAGGACCGAACACCCAAGGTTAAAAAAAACTGAACAGGCAGTAAACGCTTATCCAGGTAAGTGCTTACCAAGTAACATTACCTCGCTGCATGAATATGGTAAAGACCAAGAATCTTATCCTGTAAGAGCGAGACAAGAACCAAGAGTCTTACCCGGTAAGTGAGGGCGACGACTCTTACCACGGTAAGCGCTTACCGGGTAAATTGTTGCATACGATGTCGTTTTGGTGGATTAAAATCTTACCCGGTAAGTATATAATAGTGTTAAAATTTTACAGCTAAACACTTACCGGGTAAGTGTTTGGTAAACGGATTCTTAATTTATATTATGTTTTGTTTGTTTATGATTCTCTTACTTTTTGAAAGCCAATTATATAAGACTAGAAAAGGGTATGTGGATAAGGTTATCCACCAACCACAAGTGGAGAAGCTGCCACCTAGGATACAACAGATTAGAGGACACAAATCCTCCCAATCCCTCCTCTCTCTGTTATAAGCCCACATCCCCTTTAAAGTAAAATTCATTTTATTGAAAGGAAACAAAGCAAGCAAATGGCTTCAACAACTTGTGTAGTTTCCATGGCTATGCCATTGGCTTACTCCTCAACCCACAAGAAGCTTATCACTTCAACCTCCTTCAACCCATTGCCAATGAGACCTTCCACCTTACCCAAACCTGGAGCTGCACGGTTCGTTGTGCAGAGTTCGTTCAAGGAGCAGGCGGTCACAGCAGCAACAGCAGCGGCTCTAACCGCTTCCATGGTGGTTCCAGATGTTGCCGTGGCGGCATCTGGTGTCTCTCCATCGCTCAACAACTTCTTGCTCAGTATCGCGGCTGGAGGGGTTGTGTTAACTGCAATTTTGGGTGCGATAATAGGGGTTTCCAACTTTGATCCCGTCAAGCGTGCTTGAGTACTAGTAGTTTCATATTTCTATTCTAATAGTTGTTTGCAATGTAATTCTTATAAAATACTTGTAAATCTCAATCTATGGTTATGTATTGCAACGCCCAAATAGCCCGAAGCAAGCAGATTCGTCATTCATCCAATAACATCTGATTCAACTTAAGACCATGGTAGAAGTTATTGGTAGCCACAACTTTAAGCTTATAAGAAGCTCACATATCTAAATTTCTATTCATGTGAGATGGGTTGTTATAGACTCTTCCACTTAAATTTGTAACGTTCACCAGTGTTTATCGGTGATATGAGATTCACCTAGGATGTTACAAACCGTCACGCACCCATCTAGCCCAAGCCCAATATTATGCTATATATTCTAGAAGGGGTAATTGGGTAATACATTGGTATCATAAGAGGTGGGAGTACAGTATCGAGAAAATTGTCCATTGTTTTGTTTAGGATTTAGGGCGAGACTACCCTCTTGAATGCTAGATGTTACCAGTTTACTTTCCATTTAATCAATAACAATTGAGAGCTTGGTTCATAACCAATTGGTATCAGAGCCAGGTTAAATGGTAAGACTCATCATTTTAGGTTTGCCCCACCATCCGAATTGTAGGATTGGCTCTGAAAACCTTTAGATCAGCTTAAAGCATGGGGAAGATATTGGTATCCCAAAACTTTGAGCTTATAAGAAGCTCATAAATCTAATTTTCTATTCATCTTGGATGAGTGGTTACAATTACAAACTCCCACACTTAAACTCATGACATCCTCATCATGCCTTACCAGCATCCTCCATCGCCTAAGATGTTACAAACACTGTCATAAGGATTCACCATGCTCAATGAGGTTTACCCCACCAACCCGATAGTACAAAGATTGGCTCTAATAAATATAAAAAAATTGGTAGCCCACTATAAAGAGCTCACAAATCTAACTTTCTATCCATGTGGGACAGGTTGTTATATAAATCAGAGCTCTAAGAACAGCTTATAAAAGCAATGAAATAAATGAGAACATCAGGAACAATGCATGCAACAATTCATGTTATAATTGATATATTTCAATTGAAGTGGCAAGTCTGAACGTAAATGTTGAATATAAAAATGTAAAAACTTGGCAGATCAATTAAATTGACCTGGATGCTGGTTAAATTTTGGGATTAAATCTAACAGAAATTTGGTGTTGAAAGAGTAACTCACCTTGTCTACTTTAACGACAGTTATTTTGACCCGCTGTTCTTCACCGTAGATTTCTTCTTTGATTTTGAGCTTCAGAAGTACCTCTGCAAACAGGCGGCTTTTAATTATATTTGCGAAATAATCATCATCTTTTGCTTCATATTTTATCATGTAGAGGTCCTTGGCAGAGCAGCCCAAGATTTCTTCACCAGATTCCTGAAAAGCAGTCACCCATGTTAATCCAGTATGATCTTGGACTTGACATTGAAGAAGATATCGGTAATCACACTCTTCGAATTCTTGGTTGCAGCGGTCGCATTGCCATTTTGAGTTCCCGGACTTCGTTACTTTCTTGTTGCACTGTCGATCTCCGATTGTTAACGGGCAGGCAGTGTAGCAAAAGTTGTCGGTTTTAATGAAAGTTATGGTTGCTTTTACGGTGACCCAGTCGGGTTTATCTGATCTCCCAAGGCCTTCGTCTTTGATCTGAGACACGGTTTTACGTTTTTCGTTTTTAGACCCGGCAGGCAAATCTCGGGAGATGGATTGTGAAGCGATAGTTCTGCCGCCTCTATCGAACCAGGATCTCAGATTGTTGGCTTCTGGAGAATCTGGAGCGATGAATAGTTGAGTGGATGAAACAGTCCCAATCGATTTTCCCGTGAAGTCGTTAACTTTTCCGGCTTTTACAGCTAAAACAGGTGAAAACCCAGAATCGACCATTTCTTGAAGTTTTTGACCTTCTCTATTGCAGAACTCCCCCCAAAGTGTTAGTTCTACACTTTTACCTGATTGATCCTTTAGGCTTAGAATCCTTCTTTGAGTTTCCATTCCGTTTTTTCGTAAGATAGGAACAGAAGGGTTGACTGATATTACAACACCAATGACATCTACGATTGAATGATTCTCAGCCGTTTCGATCTCACTGATGGGTCTGAATGAAAATTGCTGTTGTGGTATCGATTTATCTTCATCTGGGCATAGATCTATGGTAGAAGATGATTCCAGGAAAATCTCCCATTCATTATTCAGATGGTTGAAGTTTTTCTTGGCCGGTTTTAAACTTCCTTTTGATATCGTGTAGACTTTCCCAACTTCAACAACATCATAGAAGCGATCAACAACAGCATTAAAACAGGTGACACGTATTTCCCCTCCATCTGAATCCAGGAGGTCAAAAGAGAAGACTTTTCCATCACCCTTGGCATTGTTGTAGCGACGGAGATCTCCTTTTGCAGTAACTCTTGCTTTAATAGCCCATCTACCTTGGTACGGGTTAAGAGCAGCAATCGGGATGATGCGTGCTGGTGCCTCGTTTTTCATGATTGCCCCGTGGCTTTTGTAACTTGGAGGTGGTTGGTATGCAGGTTGAACAGTTGGTCGGAAGGTTTGACTGTTGTTACTAATATTTGTGGCACTTGAATGATTGCTAGAGGGTATTGCTGTGCGCTGAGGCTGAGGGATGCCATTGGAAATTGGATTGGGACCCACGGTGTCAGATTCAGCATATATCTTTGGGTTCCCGATAATTTCACAATCGGGTATAATGGTTTCCATGTTAAGGACAACAATAATCCTGCAAAACAGACCACATAATATCAATCAAAACAGATGGATGCATTTGCGTATCTAGAAGAAGACACAAATTATACCATTTGGAAAGGTCATTGACAACAGATATAACACCCATGTATGATTAGAACAATATCAAGTCAAGTTGATGCTCTTATAAACTGGATCCGGTCAAAGTTATAAATCTGCTAAATCATTAATAAACTATATTCCTTATTGCTTAATACATCCAATGAAAGTATCAGTATGGTGAACCATATATTCATTCATATTGCTTGCAACTGGGGAGAAGTAGCTTGTTTGACAAAAAGAATCAGAAAAGAGAAGTGAAATATTCATGTACATGATCACCAGCATGAGAGTGTCAGTTATTAGAAATCAATCAGAACGAGGAAGAACGCTAATGATCATAATAATAATGCTTACCTATAGTATAGAGTATTTGTAACTTTATGGCGTTTGTTTTATTCTAGGTAAAGGAGGAGCAGTTGTTGATTTCAACTGATAAATATGATACACAACCGAAACAAAGAACTTGCTGCCAAGACCCAGAACCCACTGGAATCACACACGCTGATGTTAACGTGTAATGTGTTTAACTGCTTATGCATCTCCTGAATATGCTCACTCCAATAGAACTAGTCGAAGTTCAGCTTAAAGGCCGTTAAAGAACCTCATATTTTTCGGTGAAGACAATTTGCAAAAATGCAAATTTATTGTATCTTCCTTGTTCCCTTGCTATATTGTATTGAATAAAAGGAAGAAACTGCTCAACTTAGTGAAGGTATACCTTCATCATTTAACTAATCTCCCATCTCAGGTGTGATTGCATCATGGAAATGTTTATGTTTCATATCATTTAGCTTTTTCATTTCCTCCAATTTGATCAATTTTTCTTTTGTGTTGTACAAAACAATATCAAATACATAATTAAAGATCTAGAAGTTTATTAATCCTAGCAATTACATGTTAGTTATACCTTACTTCTATTTTATAAAACTAGATGCTAAACTGTTAACTGCTCAAGCATGAATATCCACAGTAGTTAACATTCCAGTTTATATACAAGGATAGCCTTGCATTCAGTTACTAATTCATGCTTTAGCTTTATTTAGCTTTGATGTACTAAATTAAAAATCAAACATGCCATTTAATGACTAGTTCAAAGACCAAGAGCAGTCTTGATCCCATGACCGTTAAGGTAGATTAGTTGCGTGATGAGGATAGCTTGCATTTCAAACATTTAGGGGTATTTAGCTTTGACGAACACGTTTAACTAATGTCTATCAAGCTACACTAACATGGGCATTTCAAACTTTTTGCTATCAAGTGCTTACTCTTCATTTTGAGCGATCAAACTACACCAACTCAAATTAAAAAGGGCACACATACTCAGATACAAGTTAGTATCCATGATCATGATTCATTGAAGCGATAATAGAAAATAAGACGTGTATGTATGCTTAATACATTAAATTGCTCAAATGATCAGTAATCTATCACTGTAGTTATGTATTTCAGTAGGCAAAGTGTTTAATATATATATCAATCTTGAGAAAAATAACACAAAACAACAAACACACATTCATATATGTATTTAGAGAGATTACTTTATTGAACTTCATGCAACAAATAATGCTTGTGGACGTCTAACGGGTGGCTTCATGATACATTTCAACAAATACTATTTTCCCATGTATGCAGAAAAGCAGAACATATTAACAAATGCGAGAAGAGGAATCTATTTCATTAAGATCTGCCTGAAGTTGTTCGAAAATATGCACGACAATTTCACCTACGGAGAAACAGCTCACAATAAGCAATTTAATAGTACAGGTGGCCAGTAAAACCTCACTACTCGGTTACATTGTCTGTGATCTAAGGCTAGTATAAACACATTTTCAAGTGTTCATCCTGTTCAGTCTTAAGTCATATATCTACATCAATCTCAAAACAAAATCAAACAGAACAGTGAGGGCTAAACAGAGTTCATCATCTACGAGATTATCCCGCTTCATCGTCATCTAAGAGATTCGAGTTAGCCCGTTGTTCTCTCTTTTAGTCGTATGTATTCTTTTTCTCTTTTAGCCTATGTTCATTTCTATAGCAAGCAAGTGAACAATTACAATATGTAAAACACGTACAAACAAATGAACGTACTTGCGATTTTGAATTTTGCTGCAAATGTACTCGATGAGTTGAACAACGGATCCTTTACGAACGGCGCCGGTTTTAACTCGGTCATTAAGCTGAGTAGCAAGCATTGCTTGCTGACTCGAAACGGAATCGGAGAGAACAAAACGGTACCTTTCCTGTGCGGAGCCGATGAGCTTGATATCTAATACCTGTAGCAACGGCTTCGAATTCATGTCGCCGGCAAGAATCACCGGAATACCGTTAGATGTCAACTGCACAGGCATTTTATTTGAATTACGGAGGTAAATTATCTGGAATTTTGTGAGAAAAAAGTTAGGGTTTTGAGGGGAGATGATAAAAGGAGATTGGCGGGGAGACGCGAGATCAAACCGACTTATGAGAGACTTGTTCGTTGTATGTAAAATAAACCCGAAAGTAGAAGCTGCGTATGGAGTACGATATATTTCAAATTTAAAATCGAAAATTTGAATTTTTATTCTTGCTTCATATTTTTGTACCAATTGTTTTTTATTTTTTATTATTTAACCTGTTATGTAAACCGACTAATTACAGAAAAAACTATTTGTTTTACAGGTAGCTCGAAGTCACCATATTTGAATCTTAATGGTCATAAATGATTTTTATTTATCCTTAGATTCGAACCTAAAATCTTCAGACACTGTTTTTTATTTATGTTGTTCTTTTATGGTTTTAGGAGAGGAAAAAAATCTTTGATTTATGTTTAAAAGTTTAAATATGGTATAAATTCAAAAAATGTTTTATGTTATAATTATGACAAAATGTATGAAATAGCAACTTACTTTTATAAATTTCTTTATTATAGCATTTTACTTTTAGTTTTTCTTATTACAATAATTTACTTTCATAATATTTTTTATTAGAGCATCATATTTTCAAAAATTTACCCGTTATAACATTAGGTGACCTTTTAAATTAGATTTACCCATTATACCAGGTTTTTTTGTCACCTCATCGTCCACGTAGGCTGTCCAAATATACAATAGTATTGACATTCCAAATTTTATTATAGTATTGTACTTTCAAAATTAGTTTATTATAAAATAATCAATTTCTATTACAGTATTGTATTTTTAATTTTAATATTTTTAAACATTGTAAATCTAATCAGATATGTTTATTAAAAATTATAATAAATATTATTTGAGATTTTAATATCGTTTTTCTTTATTTTGTTTTTGACATATTATAAAAGCATACAAGCATTGGTGATGATAAAATCAAATTAGCTAATACATACAAGCATCACCAATACAATTAATGTTATAATTTTTTAAAAATATATTCGATTAAATTTACAATATTTAAATGATAAAAATATTAAATTAAAAGTACAATGTTGCAATTGAAATTGATGATGTTATAATTAGGGCTGTAAACGAACCGAACGTTCAGTGAACCGTTCGTGAACCGTTCGGCGGGAAGTTCGTTTATGTTCGTTTATTTAATAAATAAACGAACATGAACAAGAGTCTCGTTCGTTCATTTATGTTCGTGAACGTTCGTTCATTTACCGTTTGTTTACGTTCGTTCATTTATGTTCGTGAACGTTCGTTCATTTACCGTTCGTTTACGTTCGTTCATTTATCGTTCGTTTACGTTCGTTTATGTTCGTTTATATATTAAATTTAATATACAATCTTTTATTTAATTACTTAGAATTCAAATAATATTTATTTATGTTCGTTTAGGCCGTTCGTTTATGTTCGTTTAGCCCGTTCGTTTATGTTCGTTTAGCCCGTTCGTTTATGTTCGTTTAGCATGATAACGAACGAACATAAACGAACACGAACACACATTATTTCTAAACGAACGAACACGAACACAAAGATTTTCGTTCGTTTACCGTTCGTGTTCGTTCGTTTGTTCGGTTAAGTTAAACGAACGAACATGAACAAGCCTCCGTTCGTGTTCGTTCGGTTCGTTTACAGCCCTAGTTATAATAAAATAATTTTGAAAATAAAATGTTATAATAATAAATGTCATATCAGCATTATCGTACATGTGGACAGCCTATGTGGACGATGATGTGGCAAAGAAAACTGGTATAATGGGTAAATTTAATTTAAAAGGTTATCCAATGTTATAACGGGTAAATTTTTGAACGTACAATGTTCTAATAAAAAAATATTTTTAAATTACATTGTTGTAATAAGAAAAACTGAAACTAAAATGCTATAATAAAAAAAATTATAAAAATAAATTATTATTTCGTACATTTTACCCTTACAATTAAATTAGACTTTATTTATTTCATTCAAACGGATAGAAAAGGATTAATCGGCACATTGTAATGAATAATGTCTCATTAAATTTAGCAAGATGTTATAAAATTATTTTTAATTATTTCATTATTAATAAATATTACGTGTGTACATTTAGTTAGATTTTTAATAATTAGTTTGTTTTGTGTCATTTTACAATCATTATATGATATAAAATAACATTGAACATCATTTAGGGGTAATATGGTCATTTTAACAGTTTTGTCATGTTTTGTCCTAATCGTAACTAATCACAGGAGAGACAAGTAGTCATGTCATGTCATGTCATGTTCCGTTCTGTTCCGTCCAATCTGCATACCAAACATTACCTTAAAATTACATTACAGTTAAAGTTATATTAATTAAAATTTAAAATATCATTAATCAATTACTTGCCCTTCTCATTTTAGCAAACTTTCTTACATAAAGTATTTATTAGAAATTAAGTAATTTTTTAAATTATACGTTATAATAAAATGGTATGATGATAAAAAAAAATATTATTAAAATACTTAAAATAATTTATTTGTGTAATTTTCTCGTGTGGTTAGAGTAGAAAAAGAACTGGTGTTTAAAATCATTTTTTTTGTTATTTAAGTGTTGTTTGATAATTGCTAAATGATTTGGTACGGAATGATTAAGTGGTCAGAATGTTTAAGAAGCTTTCATGATATAGTGCAAAATGAAATATAATTATTTGGTAATTGTTTACAATGAAATTAGGGCTCTTAATGGTTAAGAGAGATCCAAGATATAAAATCATTTAGAATGTTTTAGAACCATTAAGAGACAGACTTTTTTTTTTTTGCCAAACAAGATTCACATCTTACCGATTTAGATGTTGCCTTTTAATGAAATTATTAAGAGCTAAACAAACAAACCCTCAATGGATCTAGTGGCTTAGAGCACCTTTAATGGGAGGTTATTGTAAAGGTTTTTACTATTTTAGTAAGTGATAGGAATAGCTTTTTATCATTGTAATAAAAAGGTAATTAAAAAACTTTTATGAAAACATGCGGGGATGTTTTGTCAGAGATATTAAGCAGTAATCAATTGCAATAAAAATAAAAGATTTTGTTTAGTATTATATAATATAGTGGACTCATTCTCCCAAATGTCCAAATTTTCATTCCAAATTAAACCAGGGGGTGGGGATGAAAATTCATTCATATTTTCGTTCTCTGTTATTTCCATTTTCATTCTCTGTCATTTCCATTTTTTGGAACAAAAAATACTTTGACTATTAAAAAACCTTTTATATACATCCTTTTACCTATAAACCGGTGAAGGAATATGTAAAAATCATCAAAACAATAAAAAGAAATTAAAACCCAACCCCTTGCACCATTGTCGGGCTTATATTCTCTTATCACAATTCCTAAGTCCTTCAAAATCAAACATTGCATCAAGGTCCACATGTACCAACTAGAAAGTAGTCGTGGAAGGTTTTCAAGATCGGTAAAATGAGCATCACGAAGCAATTTTAAATACCCTGACCATGGCCAAAAACCAATAGCAACACCAACAATGGAGCACCTACTAAGAGGGTTGACGATATTGAGATTGAATTTCTGGGGAGATAGAGAGTGAATCTAGAGAGGGAAAGAGAATCTTCGACGTTGGAAAGAGAATGAACCAAAAATGGCTGGAGTAATCAAACCACAAGACCTGGACGATAAGTAAGCGAACCACACGACAAACTTGGACTAGTGACGACGGCCTGGAGTTGTGACGACAACGGGCTAAGCTCAAGGCGGTGGCAACGGTGACAAGAAGTTAGGCTGAGGTTAGCGTCGATGAGTGGTGTAGGGACGGCGAGAACGAGATTGAGATTTAAGACGAGGAGGTAGCATCGGACGAGGCAGACGATTTACTTTTGATACTTTTTAGGTTTTTTGATTTTTTACTTTTTACCTACTAGACAAATTACAGGTAGACATGGGAATGAGACCCATCCCATTGAGGAATCCGATATACCTGTCCCGATGGGGTCGGGGATTCCCCACAAAAACAGGGACCAAACATGGGGGATGGATATCCCTGAAAGTTAACAACCGGGGATGGCGACGGGGCCTGGTAACGTGATCCCTACCTCGCTTCATCTTCGATTACTATATATATTTATTTCTAAAAAATTAGATATTTATATTTTTTAGATTTATAAATAGTACTTTGACATTTTTTGTTATATGTATATTTTTGAGTTATCTTACTTTTTTTAGATAAAAAAATGTTGAAAACCGTAAATATTTGGTTTAACAATTACATATGATGTTATGATTTTGTTCACAAATAAACATTTGATATTCTATAAAAGCAAATTCTGAAGACATGTGACATTTAAACATAGATCATTATCGATCAGATGTGATATTTAACACATTTAATGTAAAATATCTTATATTAGTAGGAAAAATCTCCAAGTTCGTTTTGGGGATAGAGATAGGGATGTGATCATATTCCCCGATAGAGATAGGACGGGACGGGACAGAGACGTAGATTGGGATCGGGACAGGAATGGGGGTCCCTGCCTCATTCTCCCCCATTCCCATGCCTAGTTGCARGTTACATTTTTAGTTAATAGTGACTCATTTAATATAGTTTAAAAAGTTCAATGATTTATTTGACATGTTTTAAAATATCCAAAGACTTGTTTATTCAAAAATATTGTTTAGAGACTAAATCATTTAAAACACAAAAGCCCATCGAATATTTTTCCAAAAAAAAGTTAAAACGCTTATCCTTTCAGCTTAGTTACCTCACTTAGTCACTTGTATTTTAGGCCTCATGAAGAACCAAACACATCCAAACATAGAGACCAAATCCATTTTAATTAACAGTCTCATGTTCTATTAGGTCTCTCAGAGTCTCATGTTCTATTTTAATTAACTAAGAAGCCCAACTAAAAACTGAAAAAGGGAGCCCAAAAATGCAACATACATGATGCGCTGATGCGTAGGTGATGCACGCATCATGTGATGCGTAGGTGATGCGAGTGCATCATGGAAACGCAATGCATCAGACCCTTTGATGCGTTTTCTTCGAAGCATCATAGCACATTATGCGCGTATTTTTAAACCAAGACAGGTAATACGCTTGCAACTGCTCACATGACGAAAAACCGAATTTTTCCTCTCAAACTATCTGAGCATACAAAAGTTACACCAGTGAATAAAGAAATTACAGATTCTGCACTTTGGCACGTAAGGTATGGTCATCTCATCATTGTTGGCTTATAAGTGCTAAAAAATAAAGACATGGTCAGGGACCTTTCCAACAACGTGTCGTTCAAAAAAGTGTGAAGGATGCATTCTCGAAAGACAAACAAAAAGGCCATTTCCAGTAAAGGAATCCAAATGTGCAAGTAAGATACTGGAGCTAATTCATGCCGATCTTGTGGACCGATGAGAACAGAATCGTTATCAGGTAGCAAGTATTTATTGCTTCTTACAGACGGCTACAACAAGATGAGTTGGTGGAAAAACAAGTTGGAGAACCCATAAAAGCTCTTCGAAGTTCGAACAGATCATGGAGGTTTCTTTTGAAAGAATTTATTGATTTCTTTGACGAGCATGGTATTAAAAGAGAACTTATAGCGGAGCAAAATGGTGTGGCATAACACAAGAATAAAACGGTGATAGAGATGACTCACTCAATGATAAAAAAAAAAAGGATTACCCAATTGCTTTGGTCTGAAGGCGTTGCCATTGCGGTGTACCTGCTAAACCTTTCCCCAACAAAAGTTGTTTGGGATTAAACACCACACGAGGCATGGAATGGAAGTAAACCTTCGGTAAGCCACTTGTGGGTTTTTGGTTGTATTCGTTATGTTTTACAGGCTATGGAAATGCATACATTGAAAGAAAAGTCGAGCAAAAGTATTTTTATTGAATATTGCACTAACTCGAAAGCATATCGACTTTATGACCCTCAAAATGGAAAAATCACAATTAGCAGAAATGTGGTGTTTGATGAGAATAGTTGGCAATAGAAAGAAAAGTCCAAAGGATCAAGTGCACAACTTGAACTACACGAACCGTAGGAAGAAACAACAAACACCTGTAATGGTGGTTCAGACAGCTCAACACCGACTGCCATAAAGACATCGAGTTCTAACCTTTCATCTTAAAGATGACCTTTCTGATGATCTGAGTCACTCATTGAACTTGCAGAATTCCACGACGTCGATTTCCTATCGAAGGTGAGTCACCTTCGTCATTGGCATTGTTTGCTAGAGATCCATCAAGTGTTGAAGAAGCAATAAAACTACAGGAATAGAAAGAAGCCACGAAAGCAAAGCTGCAATCGATAGAAAAGAATCAAACAGCTAGGAGGTAAAAATGAAATTAGTCTGAAATGGATTGTCAAAACAAATTTCTTGTGGTTAGATTGATGGTTAGAGGGTACGCTCAACAAGAAGGAATAGATTATGAGGAGATATTCACGTCGGTTGCTCAATTTGAAACAATTCAAGTTATCTTGGCACTTGCTACCAAGAAACAATGGAAAGTAATTCAATTTGATGTGAAATCTGCTTTTCTAAACGACAAGCTAGAAGAAGTCTACGTTACTCAACCACCAGGATTCAAAAAACCAAATGAGGGGGAAAAGTGTTTAGTCTCAACGAAATGGGTTCAAGGGAAGCATGCATGAGCCGACTTTACATCTGAAGAATCAAGGCGGAGGTAATTTTAGGATAGTAAGCATACACATCAATGATATGATTTATAGCGGATAATCGTTGCATCTTATGTCTAAGTTTAAAGAGTCCATGAAGAATAAGTTTGACATGACTGATGTTGGAGAATTGAAGTATTTCCTAAGACTAGAAGTTAATCAAACAAAAGATGGAATATTTGTCACAAAGGAAATATGTAAAAGACACGTTGGAAAGATTCAACATGTTCAATTGCAAAATATCAAACACTCCGATGAACAGAGGTGAGAAATTGAAACCACATGATGAAACATAAAAGAGCAGATGCAAGCTTGTACAGGAATCTAATTGGCAGACTCATTTATGTCGCACATTCTTGTACAGATGTGAGCTTTGTTGTTCGAGTTCTATCATGGTTCATGCACAATCTGAGTCGACATCACTTTGGAGCAGCAGAGAGAGTCCTATGGTATCTCGCAGGAACAATGAACTTTGGTATTCTGTATCGTAGCCTCAAAGGAACAGTGATAGCGATCGGGGTGGCTAGGCAGCAAATGGACGAAGTACAACAGGAAACTATTTTATATTTGGGTTGACCGACATTTCTTGGAGCTCGAGGAAACAGGCAACAATATCACTCTCCAAAACAGTGCTGCAACAGCTACCGCCTGTCAATGATGCATATCTGATATTCTGGGATAACAAGTCGAACGTCATGCTCGGATGAAATCCAATTTTTCACAACCAAACGAAGCATATTGAAAGCAAACATCATTTCATAAGAGAAGCCATGGCAAAGGGTGAAGTTAAATTAGAGAGTTGCAGCAATAAGGAACAACATGGAGTGTTAGAAGTAACCGCTAACTCAAACTAGTCAGTCCATCTGAGTTGTTAAATAAAACCTAGAGATTAGGATATAATACTTATGTCTTACGAGTCTGTTGAGAATATTTAGCTTAGTTTGTTATTTTCCAGCCTATTTAACAAAGGCTTGTGTTTGGTATTGATTTAACCAGAAATAAAGGGATCCCAATGCTTCTATTACTTTCTTGTATACTTGCACTTCTTAATTTCTATCAATGACAAACAATTCCAAACACAACCCTATGATTAACATCAATGGTAAAAGGTCATCAAATACTAAGGGGTTCTCTGGTAGGGTTTCCATTAAGTCATGTATGTATAAAGTTGTTTGTGTTGATTGCTCTATCTGTGTAGACTGAGAAGAGTTTTATTTGGAAGGGTTTTTTCATAGATGGAATTATAAGAACATGCTTTTAGTTGGAGGCAGGTTTTGAAAATATTTGGCTTTTTGTATAAAGCTCTTCTTTAAAAGTTGGCTAAGTCAATTTTTATATCATCAAGCCAATACAAAATAGTCATTTATAGTAACCAAATAAGTTGTCTCATTAAACTACTAACAAACAGACGCTAAATCTATACACACCTTGACGAAAAAACAAATAGCCCCTTACTAACCTGATGATGTGGTAAAGATAGGTGTTGTAGCATATATATATCATCAAATATGAGATCATACTATTTTTATTTAAACTCCCCAAAAACATCCAAATGCTAAAGGGTCGTCCCAATTAAACCAAATTGGTTGATGTCTTGGTCAAAAAGCCAGAAACAAACATCCATATATAGCTGAAGAATAAGCCATCCATACAATTAAGCTCTAAACATACATACCACAAAACATTATTGTCACAACAGCAAACCAGTGCTACTCTAAACAAATAGCCTGTAAGACTATTTCCATAACAAACGGATTGAGAATGGATATAGCCAAGAAAAACAAACTATCTACAATAACCAACTCAATTCTCAACAAGCACCATCTGACCCGGAAAAAAAGGTTACTTCACAAGGAGTAAAAAGGTTATGTAATGTTTTACTAAGATAGAAACACAAAAAAGAGACGAGAAAACTTCCATTATTTGATTTCGAAGGTGCAAGCATACAAATGAAAGGATCATTTGCACATAAAGTGACTCACAGACTCCAATTATTTAGTCAACTTCCGACACAAGTTGGCAAGATATGAACCAATTTGTTTTATAGATGACATACCACATTAACATTTAGATGAAACAAGAATCAGT